GTGTGTGTGTGTGTGTGTGTGTGTGTGTGTGTTGTGTGTGTGTGTGTGTGTGTATGTGTGTGTGTGTGTGTGTGTGTGTGTGTATAGGTGTGCGTGTGTATGCGTGTGTGTATATATCCCATCACGACGAATCTATGGCATGCACCCTCCCCCCGTGCAGACATACGTAGCCCCTGAGTTGTCTCTGAGGTTGACGTTGCCTGCTATCCATGAGGTGGGGTTGGTTGTGGTGCTGCGCACAAGTGATGTGGGTAGTACATCGTGGCACTCAGTGATGTTGTTTTCGCCTTCGCATTTGTTTCTGTAGCGGTCGCATGAGCACAGCAGAAGCTCTTCGGTGGTCTGGTTGCACTTGAGGCGGTTGCCCATGTCCATGTTGCTGCATTCAGGGTACTCAGTCTGGGTTTAGAGTTTTTGTGCACGGGTTTCAGGGTTTTAAGGTTTAGGGTTGTTGGAATAAGCTGTGCATGTAGCATGTCTCATGATTTTTAGGGTTTAGGGTTTAGTATGGATGTCGAAATCCATGTACATGTATAGGTCAATGGACGTATACAACGTACCTGTGCATGTATGTGGTCGAGTGTATCTGAAGCATCACTGCGGCATGTCTATGCGAATGTATATGTGTATACCTACATGCATGAGTGTATGTGTATGCATGTACCTGTGTATATGTACAACCACTGCAGCATGTCTATGCGTATGTATATGTGTATATCTACATGCGTGAGTGTATGTGTATGCATGTACCTGTGTATATGTAAAACCACTTCAGCATGTCTATGCGAATGTATATGTGTAAGTCTACAAGTGTGAGTGTGCGTTTATGTGGCCATGTGTATCTGTAAAACCCCTGCAGCAAGTCTATGTGAATATATACTTGTATGCAGACATACGTGAGTGTGTGTGTGTGCACGTACAAACACACATGCGTCAACGCGTTGATATTTGTTTAAAAGGCACTTCTCAAAGCCACAGAATAGATTCACTGGTTGTGTCATCAGATCAATGACACCACTGGAGGTGACCAGGAGTGACAATTACCCCGCTCTACGAACACGAAAATACAAACACAACCACAGGCACACAAACACACGCATATATATATATATATATATATATTGTGTGTGTGTGTGTGTGTGTG